GACGCGGGTGATGTCGGCGAAAATCCCCAAAATCGGAGGGCTGCAACGCTGGGGGCGAAAAGACTCCTGCCGTGCAAGGAGAGCGGAGCCCACCCACACCGACCTCCGGTGTAGACGACGAGTGATAGTTACGCCCGCAAGCCCAAATGAGGAAAACACCCGCTTGATCGACACCATCAATGCAGTCGGGGCCGGTTTTGTCCGTGTCTTGTGCTGGTAAAGGCAACCNCCGTGCAAGGAGGGCGGAGCCCACCCAAACCGACCTCCGGTGTAGACGACGAGTGATAGTTGCGCCCGCAAGCCCAAATGAGGAAAACACCCGCTTGATCGACACCATCAATGCAGTCGGGGCCGGTTTTGTCCGTGTCTTGTGCTGGTAAAGGCAACCGCGAAAGAAAATCCGCGTTGCCGTTTGCCGAACTTTTCCGATATTTCAGGGTGTACGTGAAGTTGGACAGGAATTCCAGCCATCGTTGCAATCTAGCGTTGTGTTCCCCAACCTTGCCAATGCTCTCCAATGCTTTGTAGTCCGAATAGATGATGAACATGGTCGACCACAGATAACCGCGAAGGCGTTTGATGGCCCAACCAATGCCACCAGCCTCCAGATCCAAGACGGTCCAGTTACGCTCCGCAGGAAGAGTAGCGCGGCTGATGTACACGATGGGTCTCACCGAGCCATCGAGCTGTTCTTGTTCCAAGGAGGCGCCAAAACCGTCGATACACGCGTCGGAACACAAACGAAGAGGACGGCTGTTGTCCTCGATTGCTGCCCAATCCGGGAAGACCAAAATCGGGGGGCGAGCGAGTTCGCTTAACAACGTTTTGACAACCTTGACCATGCCCGGGGTGTACTTGAAGGGGACGCCTTGTCTGAGAAGAGAGTTGAGAGGCCGCACCTTGGTGGCGAGATTCTTGAGAAATTTCCAGTAGTAGTTGAGTCCACCGAGAAGACTCCGAAGCCGCTTAACACTAGTCGGCGGCGGCATGTGCGTGAGCGCCCTAACCTTGACGCCATCAGGGCTAACACCTGCCGGAGAGATGGTGTGACCGAGAAAGTTGGCGTGCGTGGCGCCGACGCGACCCTTCCCTGGAGACAGTTTGAGGTTGTACTGTCGCAGTCGTTTGAAGAACTCGATCAAGATTAGCACGTGTCCCAGAGGTTCCTCATCGGAACAGATGACATCGTCCAGATAAGCCAGCACACGCTCCAGACCGTGCACCACTCTGTTGATGACCTTGACGAACCAAGACGGACTTGCGTTGGCGCCCTGCGGCATCCGAAGCCATTCGAACAACTGCGTGGGAGTGCAAAAGGCGGTGAGCGGGATAGTGTCTTCATCACAAACGATCTGGTGGGAAGCCGAGTTGAGGTCAAAAATGGCGAACACTTTCCCGGTGTACAGAGAATCCAAGATACCGTCCACTCGAGGGAG